GCCCTTTTCGCTCACCAGACGTAGTGTTGTCCCCACGCGGTAATGCCAGGTACTCGGGCAGGAAGGGCCTGCGGGGAGACTTAGAGATAAATGGTACCTTGAAGAACAGGTGGCAGACATGTCATTTCTTCTTTGTGTTTTTAGTTGGAAGTGTTGATCAATGATCATGACAGCATGTGCTTCAGTATGAACTGCAGAGGATGGAAAGCGTGGGAAAGGTTTCCATGACTTAGCAGCTGCTATGGACGTGGCACTCAAGCTGAGTGGGTGAGACGCCGTTCTCAGAGGGGAGCCGTGGCAGGTGGATTGCAAATCCCCAGCTGTGGGGAGCGGCCACAGCGTTTGGACAGGTTCAAGCCTCCGGACTGATGAGAGGGCACAGTCCTCTCATGGCCACGTGCAAGTCCCAGCTTAGCGGGCAGAGCCTCCCAGCACAATGACAGCCCTCAGCTGTAGATGGAAGCTTGAACCTAAGGTCCAAACACGTGGTCCCACGTGCCTGAGTGATAGAGGTTGCAAGTAAACAAAGCTTAATCAGGTGCATGTAGTTGAGTGGGATTGAAACCCAGGAGAATGTTGTAAACATCTTGACCACGCCCTTACTTTGCCTCAGGGCGTCTGCTGTAAAATAAAGACATGGCTTACTGTAGTCCTTTGGCGCTCTCTCAGAGAAGCAGCATCCCACCGGGACCCAGCTTTCATTCTCTTGTCTCTAAGCCTTTCAGCCACCCCCATCAGGGTCACCCTGGGCCGTGCTGGTGCGGCACACCCAGCCTCATGTTTTGTTTTGTTTTTCTGAAGAGAATGTTCGAAGATTATTCGGTCAACTATTGGGGACATCAAGTTGACATTTTCAAGGAGCCAATTGTGTGTAGTTGTTGGGCCGAAGAACTCTCCCGCAAAACACAGGTTCTGAGCTTTCCAATCTAATCAGCACAATGGGTTAGAGCAGAATGAGCCGTATTGCACTTCCAACGTCCGTTGTCAATGTTCGCTGGAGAGGCAGCACTTTAGAGAAATGATGGTGGTTTCCGTGTGGGATTTCACCTGGAGCCATCATTGAGTTCAAAGACATGACTAGTGGGCCTGTCACAGGGCGAAAATGGCAACATTTCCATCAAGGAAGCGAGTGAAATTTAAGGAGAATACTGCCTGGCTGGTGTGGCTCAGCGGTTGAGAGTCTACCTATGAAACAGGAGTTCACAGTTCAATTCCAGGTCAGGACACGTGCCTGGGTTTTGGGTTTGGCCCCCCATAGGGGGCGTGCAGGAAGCAGCTGGTCAATGATTCTCTCTCATTTTTGATGTTTCCATCTTTCTCCCTCTACCTTACTCTCTGAACTCAATAAAAATATATTTTCTAAAATGAACATTAAGTGTCATAAATCTTACACCTATGCTGGACTGTTCCCTCCCCTCAACCACGCTCGTTAGAGACCAATTCTGACAGATCAACTGAGTCCTGCGGTGCGGAGACCACCCCAAGCCTCTGTCCAAGCCTCCTGGAGCTGGCGCCTAATTAAATCATCAGCAGGAAACAGAACAGTTAAAACCCAGGCTCCAGAAATAAAAACCGCGAAACAGTGCTCACTCCGGAAACACTAAGATGACAAATGGAAATATCGGTATTACGGGGCAGGGATGCGCTATGTCCCTGTAGTAAGGCGAAATCCCTCACTTGCTATTCTTCATGTCCTGGGAGATCTGCATGTGGCCAGGGCTTTCCAGTGTAAACCTGCAACGATTTCCCAGTCACTGCTACGGATGGATTTCAGAGCGCCGCATCCCGCAGCCTAAAGATGAAAACACCGACTTTTGAGCAGTAATGGGATTAATGTTAGTAATAGCATCTTTTCATTTTGAATCATTTGATTAGATCCGAGTTTAATATTACATTAAAATTTATAGATATATCTAAGTAGTAATTCCTAAGACTTTAATTATACAGATAGCTCGCTTTGCATATTCTATTTTGTTTCTTCACGATCTTAAAATATAGATTAATTTAGAAATCTAAACTAGTTTTCAAATCTCTAAAGCTTGAAGACTGTTGGCATAGAATATTGTTTTATGCCAATAAGACTTGCTTTTCCTGTGGTTTCATGAACATCAATATCTCGACAACATTGGGTGGGAAACTCGGTCGTTAGTTCAGGTCTTGACCCTCCCTGGAAGGTTCCTTCTCAGGTAATGTCACATGACACCAACAGTCGTCACCCACTAAGGGGCTCCCCAGGTAGGACTGAACCCAAACTCAGGTAGCCCCCATTAAGCACCCCCTTCCTTTTGTTCTAGAACCTTCCTGATTTTTCCCAATGTACTTATATTCTCTCTAATGACAGAGGTGAAGTTGTGGTACACATCAACATAATCTCACTTGCATTTTCGATCTACAGTTGATTTTTCCAATCATGAACATTTTTATAACATCATTTTTAATGACTTGGAAATTTTATGTGGATGGACTATAATTTAGTTAACCAAGCTATTCTTGTTGAATTATTATTATTATTATTATTATTTTTAGAACAAATGACATCCAAGTAGGTGAAATTATGTATGAGCTCATAAACATTTCATTTGGATAAATCCCCAAAAGTGTAATTGTTATATTAAAAAGAATATAAAATCTTGACATATTTACAGAAAGGCATTTAGGCACCACACACTTCATATTAGCCACGTCCCTAAACCCTCAACAACAAACTTATTATTATTATTGTTATTATTTCTTTGTCAATATAATAGGAAAATGGCACTCCATTGTTTTCATTCATATGAATTCTTTGGTGATCACTGAGGTTGAATGTCTGGTTTCTGGTTTTCTACAGAGACACATAGGAGGGGAACTTTCTAAAAATAGCCCAGTTCAGAGAACATGAATTCTATCATCCGGGTGTGCCCTCACTCTAACTGTAATAAATGACATTAAATGTATAGGAATATGATGTGTAGTCAATTTAGTGAGGAGGATAATTCAGTCCAACACTCTGATCAAATTTGATTTGATTTTTAAAGTAAAAAATAAATGTAGTGAAAAATTGTGAGACTAATCGTCATGAGTCGATGCAAATGGTTGAGGCGACTTCATTTTCTCCCAAAGATATAATGTAAAACATTACTCTTATTGACACTTCTTGTTTCCTTTGAGGAAGTATTTTAGTTTGAATATATTTAATAGTTTTAGTTTTTGTGCATTTACCCTTTTAAAAAATATTTAATTCAATTCAAATGACACTTGAACTGAAAATATTTTTATTTATTTATTAAATATATTTTATTGATTTTTTTTTTTTTACAGAGAGGAAGGGAGAAGGATAGAGAGTCAGAAACATCGATGAGAGAGAAACATCTATCAGCTGCCTCCTGCACACCTCCCACTGGGGATGTGCCCGCCACCAAGGTACATGCCCTTGACTGGGAATCGAACCCGAGACCCTTCCGTCTATAGGCTGACGCTTTATCCATTGAGCCACACTAGTTTATTTTTAAAAATACGTTTTTATTAATTTTTTTTTTTTTTAGTGTCCTGAAGGGAGAGGGATAGAGAGATAGAAACATTGATGAGCTGCCTCCTCCACCGTCCCACACTGGGGATCAAGCCTGAAACCCATAATCCACTGGCAACTTCTTGGTTCATGGGCAGATGCTCAACCACGGAGCCACACTGGCTGGGCTGAAACATTTTTATCTATGCCTGATTTTCAAATGCATATTAAATGATCATTTACATGAAACAGGTCCATCCAGTCAAGAAGCTTTAAATCTTATTGGTAGGAAATGGGACATATTAAAATTGAGTTACCCATTGCAATGTAACAAATGATCCTGCCAACTTCTAGCAGCTTAAAACAAACCTTATCTTACACATTATATATACTTTTAAATATATTCTTATTGATTTCAGAGAGGAGGGGAGAGGGAAAGAGAGCAAGATAGAAACATCAATGATGAGAGAGAATCATGGATCGGCTGCCTCCTGTAAGCTCCCTGCTAGGGATCAAGCCTGTACCCGGGCATGTGTCCAGACCGGGAATCAAACCCTAACCTCCTGGTTCATAGGTCGACACTCAATCACTGAGCCACGCCGAGGGGCTCACACATTTTCTCAGGAACATCAATGTCGCGCCAACATTGGGTGGGAGAACGCAGTCATTAGTTCAGGTCTCGCCCCTCTCTGGGAGGTGAGAAGGCCAGACCCAGTTGAACGGGGGCTCAGGGTCTCTCATCGGGTGGCAGTGAGGCTGTAGCCAGAGCTGCGCCCTAAGAACTTGACTGGGGTTGAGGGATAATCAGCAGACCTCACTTATGCCCTTGGGAAGGGCTGCTGGGCACAGCTTCCCCCAGAATGAGAGCTACCATAGATAGAGTGAAGGGGAGGGGAGAGAGGGAAGCAGGCAGGGAGAGAAGGAGGGGTTTTCATTTCGATAAAGGCTGTTACTTCAAGTAATTATTTACCATAAGCTATTGGTCACAGCTTAAATAAATGATGTCTGTGTTAAGTGTATCAGAACCTAGTCATTTCTTTGAACTGTCAGTAGCCTTGTTTTAGCACTCTGAATGACATAATCTTTAAGTGCCTCAACCTAAATATAGTTTAAGAGAATTTTCTAATTCCTTACTTTTCTCAAAAAATACCTCCCATTCTCCATGTTTTCTTGAGGATTCAAATCAAACTCCTCTGTTAATTTTAAACGGAATGAAGAAATTTAAATACAGAAATGTCTGATCATATATTTTTTTTATGCATGAGTCTCCTATCCTTCAGGAACTTAGCTTTCGTAATGAAATGCTTTATCCCTCTTTTCATTTAATCTTGGTGAAATTTCAGCATGACTTCCCCTCCAGAGAATCACTTAGACTCACTTGGGGCCTAAGTAGGATCAAGGTCATGGATTCATGATTCAGGATTCTGTGATGCCTTTAATGTTGTGGTTGAATGTCTTTTTGTGTTCTTAAAACAACAGAGCCATAACTGACTGTAACCTTATCTTATTCTAGGTCCCCTAAAAACCCAGGACAGAAGATCATCAAGAGAGTGATTGCCCTGGAAGGAGATATTATAAAGTAAGTACTTAAGACTATTGGTCTGAGTTCAAGTTATAATATTTTAATTTAAATAGCTACATGTTTGTGGAGTGTGAAACCACATTATATGTCAAAGAGGACCAAAGCTTTGGAGACATTCCAGATGAGTGGCCCATTCAACCATTTCTGGATATAAGACAGACACAAATGTACTGGTCATATTACAACCCTTTAACTGGGAGACATGGGAGAAGTACACAGCCATGAAACTAACATTAACCATGTTTTCTAAAATGATCATGAGGTCATTGTTGTTAAGACATTAAATTCTTCATGATTGTTATAGATGATGATGTCAAGGTTCCTTTTAGAAACATTTAAGGACATTTTATTATTTTAGAAGCAAACACAGAGACTAAGGGGGAGCTTTTGTTACAGTGGAGATAGGACGTCACAGGAGAAGATAGGAAACAAGTTCTGAATCACTCAGAATAGGAGCTTTAGCAAATAGCTCGCCATCAGGTGTGGTGGTGACCATGTGTAGTAAGGTCCCATTTATCCTGCCTGCTGCTCACTAACAGCAGGACAACATTTGAGATCAACAAGGAGGTGGGTGTGGCGTGACATTGCATTTGGTTGTTCCTTTAAATAAAGTGTAGCCAGGTGCACTCAGTGTCACAGTGTGGGCATCCAAACGCTCGGAAACCATATGCAGAAAGCGTTGTGATCCTGTCTTCAAAGAGTCGGGTCCTAAAGTGTCTGTGAGGGTGACCGTGCAGGTGAAGGAGCCTCACTACAATGGTCGTCGAGGGGCTTGGAAGCAGAGTCCACTGTGAGTGCTTATCTACAGCACGGACAGCAATAACCAATGTGTCCCGATACATCATTTACAAAACGTCAGCCAGAATAAAGATTGGAGAAAGACACACACACACACACACACACACGCACACACACACACACACACACCAATGAGAGAGATTTATACGGATGCATTAGTTCCACCAGAATAGTTTTCATAGCTGTCTGCTCTTTTCTTATAAATCTGTTGTGACCCATGTGGAGAGCACTGTGGTGGGAAAACAGACACAGTCCCACGGGCACCCTCAGAGTGAGAGGCGCGCCATGTCGGTCCTTATGGCTGGGCCGCCTGCATTTCTGCCTCTCGGGTGTGCCAGCGGTCAGACAGGAAGCCAGGCCCCGCCTCTCACCTGGTGAAACCCTCTCTGTGGACCCTGGCATCTGGGCTCCCGTGTCCTTGTCGACCTCAGTGAAGACAGCGATCGCTTTGCAGGGGAACCCCGTAATATAGCGCCCCAAAGAGGACACGTTTGGGAGCGGAGAGGGCTGAGCTGAATGGTCCACAGACATGGGATGGCCAGGGCAGCCTGCTGCGGAGGGGCACCCGCCAGGATAACGTGACCCCCTTTATAAATCCCTTCTCACGGCCCTCCTGGCTGGGGAGACACAGGCACCCTCTTGTGGGAAGGACCGCCCCGCACAGGTGTGGACTGTCCAGGGCTCAGGCGGAGTGTCAGCGGCTCCTCTCCCGGGGGACTGGCTACGTGAGGGTCCTTCAGGCCCAGCGGCTATCTCATAGAATATCCAACACCGCAATTTATTAAAAATCTCTTCCTGGTATTAGCAGAAAACAATCCATTGGATCATTAGAAATGAAACCTTTTACAGCTGTTGGTTTTGCATGTGCTATGGAAGATAGGGAAATCGATATTAGCCGATCGCTGATATTTGGATCGCATTATGTTCCAGCAGATGATGAAGCTCTATGTGAAGGAAAACAGAACCGTATTGAGTTTTCCCACTAGGACGGAGACGATGCTCGCTGAGCAGCCTCTGTCACGGCGGCTGCAATGGCTGCGGGTCCAGAGCCTGGGTGTCGATAGGGCCGTGCCTGGCGGAAGGCGTTAGGGCAGGACAGGAGCTGGGAGTACAAGCTGCCCTAGAGGGAAGGACAGCATGCACATGTGTGTCTGGTGCAGAGAACGTTCTAGATCACAGACACCAATGGGTGCCAGGTGGAGGACTGTGGGTGGTCACACGCTGGCCTTGGCGGCGGGAACTTGGGGGCGGTTGGCAGAAGTCCCCGAGGCCTTCAGCCTGGTTTGTCTGAACCCTGCACCTTTCCGAGGCCCATGGCCTGGTGCACGCTGTTGAGAATGTGAGGCCTGGCAGTGCTGTGGTTTAGTGAGGGCTGGCGCGGTGGCACACAGTGCCCGGAGCGGGCCCCACAGTCAGAGTTACACACTGAGAGGCTGTTGTGGAAAAGCACCCACTGCCCCGTGCTGTCAATCAGAGGAGTGATGAATACTGTCTGGGCACCCTTAGCTTCTCCTTGCTAAAAGCACGACCGTTACGTCTCACTAAATGATTACAGCTGGCAGGGGACCCAGGCCTTTTTGGAAATGCTGCTTTTATGTAGTCACAGGTGATTATACTGCCATCGCAGTGAATAAAAACAGAATTGCTAATAAAAACGGTCCATCTTAGCAATAGGTATTTCCTAATAAACATCAGAGAGATAGTCACCCTAACTTTATATGCAGAAATAAATGTTAATCTCCATTTTTTTAAAGCCCAAATTATTCCCATAAGAAAGGAGCGATGTGGGGAGGGTTCCAGAGGCTCTGCCACCTCCCCACCCCCCACGCCATGTGTGTGCACTGTCATTCCGAGATGCGGCGGGTGCTGGGGCCACCGGGCCATGTAGATGGAACTACTCTTTCCAAAGATGGTGATGCCTGTCAGTGTGCGCCCTCACACTCCCCCGCCCCTTCTCAGCAGCGGTTTCTTTTGTTTCAGTTTCTGCCTCAGTTTACCTGTCCAATGAATGGGGTTTAGATGTATAACTCTTCCATGTTTCTCCGTTCCTGCCCATCAGTCACTCACTCATGCCGTGTGGTTGTTGAGGTCACGAGCACTGATCGTGAAGCCAGACTGCCCAGATGCGGATCCCAGCTCTGCCACGTGGAAGGTCACTCTGCCAAATTCCTTCATCCTCTAGCCTAGCTTTCCTCACTTGGAAGATGGAAATTATAATAGCACGCTCTCCGCAGAGTTTTCTTGAGAGTTCCATGAAGTAATGGGTATAATTTGGTTAGCGTGGTGCCTAGCCTACAAGGATGCTTTCAGTAAATATCAGATATCATTGTTAGTCATTCCCGGGATGTACTCATTATTTATTGAGTGCGTATGATGTACTAGGCCACTGTGCTGGATCTGGGATTATATGCATGACAAGCTGTAGATAGCTCTTGTCTTGGAAGCTTACAGTCCGGTGGAGAAGCAGGAAAGGTGAGAGATTAGCAGGACAGCACTGAAGGCTGGCATGTGGGTGAGCCAGCAAGCCTGGGCTCAGGGAGAGGAGCAGCTGGTCCACCTGCGGGGAGGGAGTGGGCTGGGCGGGGAGAACTCCGGGCTGACAAAGCTTTGAGATGAGAAAGAAATCCACAGCCTCCCCTTACCCAGGACAGCGTGGCTCCGTGTGGACAATCACACAGTCCTGGCATCTCATGGGAAAACAGAGGGCCCCAGGGTGCCATTGGGGGGCCTCCTAATGGGCGTGTCATCGTAGGAGGCCGGGAGGATGGAAACGTATTTACCGCATGGCAGTTTTTTCTTTGAATATTCCACAAAGAAAAAGATAACAGTTCCTTGAGATCTAGCTGTAAGGATTGAGGTTTCTCAGTGTGGAAGTTGTGCAGGCATTGCTAACTGGTCCACTAGGCAGGGGTTTGGAAATACGACACATCCAGGATTGCTTATTTAGTCCCGAAATAATAACAGCCCCAAGGGAACAGGCACAGAGGTACATGGATGGAGGCACTGTCGGGTGGCGAGGACACCTAGACAAAACGATCCACAGGAAACGAAAGGCAGGGGCGTGAGTATGAATGTTACAACAATGTCCCCGGAATGTAATATTTTCATATTTTCATATATCTGCAAGGACGTGTTAGAACCAACATGTCCTCTCAGGCAGTCCAAGGGCCGAAACAGCTGGGGTAGTTCGGGTAGGAAACCCATTGGCTCAGCTTCATTAGGAAAAAATTCTGCAGGGGCGGGGGGGAGGGGAGGGGAGAGGGAGAGGAGTGGTAAGGAGGGGAGCAGCAGGGCTCTCTGGTCCACGCCTCCTTGCTTCTCTTTAAAAGGGGTTATTCTGCCCCACCGCTGTGGCTCAGTGGTTAAGCCTTGACCCATGAACCAGGAGCTTATGCTTTTATTCCTGGTCAGGGCATATGCATGGGTTGCAGGCTTGATCCCCAGTAGGAGGCAGCAGATCAATGATTCTCTCCCATCATTGATGTTTCTCTCTCTCTCTCTCCCTCTCCTTCTCCCTTCCTCTCTCTAAAATCAATAGAAACAGTTTTAAAAAATAAGTAAATGAAAGGCAGTATGGTTTGTAACTTGGATGAAGCTCCTCTTCTGTCTTCCTGGCTGGCTTTGGGGCTCAACTTAAGTTCTGCGTGGGCCGCATTCCCGGCAGACCACGTGCGGAGCTCCTGGAGTCCATTTCCTGCAGGAGTGCCACGCGTGGGGCGGGCTGCTGTCCTGGTATTTTTGGCAGCTGCCTCAATCACATGTCTGAGTCACATGACTTACTGAAGTTGTGAACTCCAAGTACAAGTATGAGAAATGCTAACTTTCCATGCTCCTTGGAACTAAATATTGATTTTGATTTTTTTTCTCTGTTCACATGCAAATCTGTCAAGTATTTTGAAAAGACATAACTATAATTATCGCAGTAGGACGCTGAAAAGGTGTCTTAAAATACCGTTTTAACTAAATTCAAAAAGCATGTTAGGAAGATTCAAGAATCTTTCTAACCCGAATAATTACTAATTAATTGAGGAGCAGATAGCACTTCTATTTCTGTGATATGTCAGTTAACCTTGTTTAAACTTAAAATTGACCACAGTTTCTCTTTTAAAATATTCGGAGTGAGAATTTCTTGCAGGGAGAAGGTATGCTTAAAGCATTGATGTAATTGGCTGTGGATGCTTTTAGAGTTTCATACATTT